AGCCTATCACAACTCCTGACTAGGTTAATTCAAACCCCCACACTAAAGGCCTAACAGAAGGAAAAGTGTGCCAGCATGGTGAAACCCTGTCTCTACTAAAAATACAAAAATTAGCCGGGCATGGTGGTGCATGCCTATAATCCCAGCTACTCAGGAGGCTGAGATAGGAGAATCACTTGACCCTGGGAGGCGGAGGTTGCAGTGAACTGAGTCGAGATCGTGCCACTGCACTCCAGCCTGGGCGACAGAGTGAGACTCTGTTTCAAAAAAAGAAAAAGAAAAAGAAAACAATTATGTGTACTATAAATCCTAGGTCAATCGTAAACATTAACTTTTCCATATTTTTCCGACTCAGCCCCATGCTCAGTGGCGGAGCGTGAAACAGGCCTAGCCAATGAGCTCATGGCATTCTTCTGGCCACAGTGACCGATTGGTGACTGAGTCAGAGCCAGTGAGACGCTGCAAAACTTTGCTTGGAAATGCTGGGACAATGGTAGTTGCTCTATTTCACAGAGTAACACCGGGACGTATGTGACATCTGCAGCCACCAGAGTCATGCTAGGACCCCAAAACCTGTTGGAGGATGCATTCAACATGAAGAGGTAAGGAGATGAGCGATGGAGAGAGGCTATGCAGAGGGGTAATAACTTTTTAATTACGGAAGCCAAAAAATCCTCCTCTTGGGAACTTGTTTTGGGTGGGATTTTCAATCACTTGGTTGTGTAACAAAATACTATTAATACAAATTTAGCAGCTTAAATGACACAAATTAATTATCTCAGTCTCCATGGGTCAGATGTCCAAGTGTGGGTCAGCTGAGTCCTTTGTTCAGGGTCTCATTGGGATGAAATCCAAGTATTGGCCAGGGCTGTGATTTCAACTTAGGCTTGCAATCCTCTTCCAAGGTTGCTGAATTCAGTTCCTTATGGTGTAGAACTGAAGCCCTGTGCTCCTACAGGCCGCCTGCCATTCTCTGCCATGTGGCTGCTTAACAGCCAATAGGAGAGCATCTGTGCTGCTTTGAATATCTTTCAGGGAAGGCCTGGAGGCTCTTTGAGGTTTTTTGTTGTTGTTGTTTTTGTTGTTGTTGTTGTTGTTGTTTTTAAGATAGAGTCTCACTCTGCCGCCCAGGCTGGAACGCAGTGGCATGATCTTGGCTCACTGCAACCTCCACCTCCCAGGTTCAAGCAATTCTCCTGCCTCAGCCTCCCAAGTAGCTGAGACTACAGGTGTGGGCCACCACGCCTGGCTAATTTTTGTATTTTTAGTAGAGACGGGGTTTCACTATGTTGGTCAGGCCCGTCTCAAACTCCTGACCTCACGTAATCCACCTGCCTCGGCCTCCCAAAGTGCTGGGATTACAGGCGTGAGCCATTGCACCCAGCCTCTGGAATCTCTTTTAAAGGACTCAACTTGATCAGGTTCACCCAGGCCAATTTCCCTTTCAGTTACTTCAAAGACAACTGATTAGGGATCCTCATTATATCTGCAAAATCCCTTCATCTTTGCCATGTAACATAACCCAGTCGTGAGAGTGAAACCCTGTCATATTCACAAGTATTGCACACGCTCGAGGGGAATTTCTGTCCACACATGCGTACCATGCACACCATTGGTGGGAATCTTGGGGACCATCTTAGAATTCTGCTGTTCTCTTTTTGTTTCTGGAATTTTCCGTGTTCTCCCAGACTTCTAGGCTGTAGCCTGTCTGATATATTTTCACCTGGCTTTACTTGTCTCTCTTCCCAGTTGAAAGCTGAGCAATTCACCTGTCACTCTATGTCCTAGTTCACAGCCTGACATGGCTTTGGTGCTCCATAAACATTTGTTAATGGATAAGTAGGTGTGATTCTCACATTGTAAGTGAAGATTAAAATGCTAAAATACTGTAGTTCTACCCTACTGGCTCCATCCAGTCCAAATTCAAATATGACTCAAGAGGCCCTGCCTGACCTGCCCTTGTACACTTCTCTGCCCTCACCTCACTTTCTCTCTCATACCATACTGTAAGAACATTAAATCACTTCCTGTTTCTAATGTATGATTTGCTTTCTCTTAGCTCCATTCCAGTGCCTGTGCTGTTTTCTTGACCTAGGATGCTCTTCCTTACATCATTGACTGACTGACTCGTACCCATCCCTTGATAAACAGCTTGGAGGTTACCTACCCAGGAAACTTCCTCATCACCCTCTCCTGCCCCACTGTGTGGTTCGTGCCCTTGTTTGGGCTTCCACAACCCTCTAAGCTTCCTTCTCCTTTCCTAGAACTTGTCATGCCTTCTATGTTAAGAGTCCCTCTCCTCTGCCAGCCTGAGCTGTCCTGGAGAGTAGAGAATGAAACTGCATTGGGTCCCAGGAAAGGTCTGATCTACAGTTAAGACAATTTGTTGACCAAACAAACGAGTTCAGTATTCTCCATGTTTGTGATTCTGAGTCTTCCAAGATGTCTGTGCTTTCTGGAGTCCTGGGCCCCGTGGCAGGCCAGCCTGGCAGGCTCTGGTTGCCCTGTGGTCTCCAAGCCCAGGCCACAGGGCACCGTCACAATGCTCAGATCATAGCCTGACAGCCTGTTTTCTATTAGTCCAGGAAAATTTTTGAAAAATTACTGCCCAACACATGGAACTCCTTTCAAAAAGAGTAGGCATGGGAGATTACGAAGAAAATGACTGTCATTTAGAGCTCCATGCTGATGGAGTGTAGTTAGGCAATGTGCTGCCCGGAAGGTAGAGTACCAGTCCAGAACAGGAGCTGAGTATCTCAACAGGCACACCTCTTCCTTTGCCCTGCTGAGCACTTGACATTAGCTTGAGCATCTCGCCCTTTTCCCTGAGAACCAGCCACTTCTTTTTTTTTTTTTTAACAGAGGGTGAGGAGGGGCCCAAGCTTCGCAATGACCACACAACTGTTTAGTCCTAGAGTTGTGGTGGTGGGAATGGGGTGGGGGTCACTGTTCAGTCACTACCAAAAACAAGAATCCAGCTGACTGGATGGTCAGCGCAGTAAACTGAGAAGGGAATAAATACCTCAAATTGCTTGAACAGGTTACTCTTAAATTGGGATCACTTAATTCTTCCTTCAATGGGCACTAAGCATCTTTTAACCTCAATGATGATTTATTTCATTTCATTTCTTTTTTTTTTTTTTTTTTTTTTTTTTTTTTTTGAGATGGAGTCTCACTCTGTCTCTTAGGCTGGAGTGCAGTGGCACAATCTTGGCTCACTGAAACCTCTGCCTCCCAGGTTCAAGCAATTCTCCTGCCTCAGCCTCCCAAGTAGCTGGGATTACAGGCAAGCGCCACCATGCCCAGCTAATTTTTGTATTTTTAGTAGAGATGGAGTTTCACCATGTTGGCGAGGCTGGTCTTGAACTCCGGACCTCAAGTGATCTGTGGGCCTTGGCCTCCCAAAGTGCTGGGATTACAGGCATGAGCCATCGGGCCAGTTCTCAAAGATGACTTAGAACAAAGACTAGAAATGTTTTCAAACTTCTAGTGTTAATTTTGCATTAAGGCGTCTGTGTAAATGTGATACTTTAAATTCTTATAATGTTTAAGATAATTTCAAGAGCTTGGCACTGTGACTCATGCCTGTAATCCCAGAGCTTTGGGAGGCCAAGGCAGGAGGATCCCTTGAGGCCAGGAGTTTGAGACCAGCCTGGGCAACATAACGAGATTCCCCACCCCCTCTATAAAAACTAAAAATATTAGCCAGGCATGGTAGTCTTAGCTACTCAGGAGGCTGCAACAGGAGGATAGCTTGAGCCCAGGAGCTTGAGGCTGCAGTGAGCTATGATCACTATTGCACTCCAGCCTGGGTGACAGAGTGAGACTCTGTCTCAAAAAAAAAAGAGATAATTTTGAGAATTCTAACAGATTATTCTTGTACTAATTACAAATACGTATTTGAATAATAGATTTAGACTTTTGATTTTAAGATGAAATCTCATTTGTATTGACACATTTAAAAGTACTCATGACTCAGTGTTTTTACAAATTTATTATATTTACAAGAATTACACAAGGACTTGAAAGGCTTTGCTAGACAGAAAACTGTGATACTTATAAAAGAAAAATGAATTAAATTTATAAATGCAGTTTCAAATGTTCAAAGAATTTTAATTAGCTAAGTTTATTAATGGGACCAAATAAGTGATATCATTTACTAGAGTTATGAATAAAACTGTAAAATTTGGCTGTGCGCGGTGGCTGCCTGTAATCCCAGCACTTTGGAAGGCTGAGGCGGTTGGATCACGAGGTCAGGAGTTTCATGGGTTGGAGGTCTCAGGATAATAAAGAACTGTTGTAGTTGGGGGTGGGAGGTGGAAGAGAGTCATCAAGCAACTGGAATTATAAGAACTTCAGCATAAAGAGCTAGTACTAGAAATTCGGGAGGCCACAATCACAGTATCAGGGATATAAGTAAGGGAATGGATGTCCAACTGGAAAGAAAGGAATGTTACTGGAGACGAGAAGGAAATCAGACGTGATAAGCCAGAGTGCTACTTTAGATGAGTGGCCACTATTTTGCACAACGTAAGCGGGGCACTGCTCACATGAACGTCTACGTGAATGGCGCTCCCAGGCCTTGTGCAGTGCATAACCTGCGGACCCGTATGGGATGAACCTGCTAGATCCCCAAGTACCCAAGAACTGATGACAGGAGTTCGTGTGGGGAGATGAGACAGGAGGTAAAAAAATAAAAATAAAAATCCTTGGTAAGCAAAAATTGGTCATAATTGTGGAGTATTTACTATATGCTTGGTAATGTTCTAAACACTCTCAACCCTGTGAGTTCAATATTTTTATTATCATCTACACTATTTAACAGATGAAAGAAGCAAAGGAAATGACAGCTGGTCTTGAGCACACTCGCTCAAGAGCGCCACACTATACACCGTACAGTCTACAGCGCAGAGGAAACTAACTGCTCAGAGCGCTCACCGCGCTCCTTCCGCGTCCAGGCGTAGCGCAGGGTCACGTGCCGGCGCGGGGCGGGGCCAGCGGGGCGCCTTCGCGCCTGCGCGCCGCTGGCCGACCGAGCGGACCCTGCCGATGACGAGCGGGCGCTACGTCCCGCGGTCGGAGCCGCGTTGTTTCCCGGCTCCGCCACCGGCCGGGGCTCGGGTGGGGGCCCGGGCCCCCGGGGCATGGCCCTCCGGAGTGCGCAGGGCGACGGCCCCAACTCCAGCCACTGGGACGGCGGCGCGGAGAAGGCAGGTACGGAAGCCGACCAGGGCGCCGGGAGCGGCCTGCGAGGGCGGCCCAGGGGGCAGTGGCAGCTGGTGGCGGAGGCGGTGCCGGAGGGGCGCGGGCTGGCGACCCGGGGCTGCGGCGGGGTTCCGGGCGGCGAGAGAGGAAGAGGCGGAGGGCCCGAGGCACGTCTGATGGGGAGAGGGCCTGGAACTGGGGGGCTCAGGCGGGTGCCGAGCTGACCCGAGGGAGCCTGGCGGCAGAGTAGCGTCCCCAGGCAGAAGAGCGGGCGGGAGCTCCGCGCCCTGGCTTTCTTTCGTGTGGAGAGGACTGGGACTCCCCCAGTGCGGGCAGGCCCACCCCGTCCCAGGTGTCTGCCACGTCCGCAGACTCCCGGAGCCGCCTCCCCGAGGGAAATCAGCTCTCCCGAACTTCATTCACTGTCGCCGGCTTGATTGACGCGCTGTCCGCGTACCGCCGATTTAATTACCATGCAATTCTCCCTTTAAGGTGCACAGTTCAGTGATTCTTAGCACATTCACAAAGTTGTGCAACCATCGCCGCTGTCTGATTCCGAAATGAAACCCTTACCCATTAGCAGGCACTCCCCATTCCCCAGTATTCACGAAGCCTGGCAACCACGAATCGACTTTCTGTCTGTCTTCTGCCACCTATTTAATGTTGTTTAGTTGTGTAAAAGCGACCTGGCGCTATGGCTCGCACCTGTAATCCCAGCGCTTTGGGAGGCCGTGGTTGGAGGATCGATTGAGGCCAGGATTTCGAGGTCAGACTGGGAAACATAGCGAGGCCTCATCTCTACAAAAAGTTTTTTTTTAAAAGCCGGATGTAGAGGCTCGAGCCTGTGATCCCAACGATTCAGGAGGCTGAGGCGGGAGGATCGCTTGAACCCAGGACTTGGAGGCTACTCTATGATTGCGCCACTGCACTCCAGCCTGGGTGACAGATGGAGACCCTATCTCAGTAATGAGTACATTATTGTATACAAAGCGATTCTATTTTTATACTCTTTTAGTTTGGACCATTTCTGTGAACTCATGTTTTTGTTGCACATTGTGTTCTCAAATGTTTTTCATTCAATAAATACATGACAGTTAAAATTATGAATGTACACCGTGAACCAAGTTATATAATCTTTTTTCCTTGAGGAAGACTAAGGTGACTTCCCCATTTCCAGTCCTCTGATGGATGGTACCCATAACAGAGTCAAACACGTTTATTCAACCCACGTATTTTGAGGAAGCTGCTAGTATTCATATTTTATTTTATATTTTATTTGGGCTCATTTTCTGTTTTTTCTCATTTTCTCATGTTCTGATACTGAATGGAAGTGGATGGAGCGCTGAACCTTTGGCACCGTAACCCTTTCATTACTAGTGTTTGTGTGATGTCTGTCCTCATGGCATAATAGTCAATGCCCTAGGCAACATGGGTCTTGTGACCTGTTGGCAGTGCAGCTGTGTGTCTGTTGCAAGACTTTACCGCCTCTAGTTTCCTTGATTTTGCTTCTCTGGATGAATGGGACAAATTTAAAAATGAGGTTTTTTGTTTTTGTTACTGTTTTGTTTTTTAATCATATCAGAGTATTGTTGGCAAAGTTCCTAATGCTTATCCCTCTTTTGTAGCGTTTATGATCAGATTGGTTTGCTCACGACTGTTTTTTTTCCATTATAGGGGTGAAACATTCTTAAGTCTTTATAACCTGCTTTATGTTCCAGGTAGTTAACAGAATCTTTGCTAATTTGGATACTGTTTTGTAGAAACTACTAGTTAAGACCTCTAAAAACAGAGGCTACTTTGTTTTATTTTGTGTTTAATAGAAGTCTTACCCAGACTGAAATAAGGTTTTCCTCTCCTGCTGTGGTCTTCTGGTACAGACATGGAGTTAAAGCATTTTTTTTTTTGAGAGATGGGATCTTGCTCTGTCACCCGGACTGGAGTGCAGTGTCACAGTCAAAGCTCACTGTCACCTCCCAACTCCTGGACTTGAGTGATCCTCCCACCTCAGCCTCCTGAGTAGCTGGGACTACAGGCATAAATTTTTAAGTTAATTTCCAATGTCAATATCAGGAGTTGTGGGTGGGTGTAGGGGGATGTCTGTCTCCCTCCCTCCACAGAAAACGTCCCCAACCCTCCATTGTTTTAAGACTAGCATTGCTTAATGTGAGCTTAACTTCAGTTTAAAGACTGTAAAGCTTTTATGATAATGCAAGCTTAAACCAAATAATCAGTATGGAATTTTGTACTCTCACACGAGATTCCATTATATAAATTAGTTGATCCAAGTTAGTATTTGTTTTGGTGATATGGAAAAATACATGAAAAAACTTTTAGATGAGACATGGATAGTGGTCATCTTTAGTTGTTATTGTCCCTTCCCTGTATATTAAGTGCCCTAATCCAGGTGATTTTGGACATGCCTATTACTCTGAGGAGGCAGAAATCTTTACCTGGATTCTGTAGCCAGAGTTGAGAGAAATTTAAGACAGTAGTGGGTTGTGTCATCTTTATCTGAACCATTAAGAACAACAGTTCAGTTAAAGTGTCCCATTGTTAAAATTAACATTTTAGGGAGTTGAGTCTGATCTCTCTCCCTGACTACAAGACCCTGTTGCAGTTGTTTCTATACCTGTTGCTGTGGTACCCCTCAAATGAAGTCTGCTTTGCACTCTTTATAAATAAATAAATAAAAATAAGCGTTCTAATAAAGAGTAGGCCAAAGTCATACCTATCTTCCTTTGTCGAATGAATTACTTTTCAGGCATCAGGGATTTATTTATAGCAGTCTTATATTTTGCAGCCAGCTGTAGGACAGTCATTTTGTTCCATCATGGTTATGATAGCCAAGACCTCTACTATAAAGGAGTTTGGAAGGTTTCGGCTTTGGAATAATAGTGCACTCTCTTGTAAATGGGGCAATAAAGAAATTGGAGAAGAAAGGATTGAGGGAGATTAGAATGACATACATTCTACCTCTAGATGAAATGTGGGCTTTTATTCCAAGCCAGATATGGCATTCTCAAGTCCAGAAATGCGTGTCCTGCTCTAACTCTATAAAGTTTATCTTGAAATACAATACATAATAGGCGTTTATTTTAATCTTTTCCTGAACATCCCAAGAATAGCTCTATGGTGTTTCTCTTTTGGAAATAAACAGGATGTCTGTGAATTTGTTTTTCAGTGGAGATGCTGCTAACCTCCCTCCCTGTGTCATCTAGCAGTTGATCTCACTCTGTATTCATACATCTTTTGCTCACTTGAGTTTTCTGTTTCCTCTTCCCTTTTTATGTCACAATGAAAGTCTATACATTTAGTTGGAATAAAGTATTTGTCAGAGTGGCACACGTGGGAGTGCTTTCTCCATCGGCCACTGACATTTACTCACTAGGGTGTGGGGTTGAGGAAGGTGGTGTTGGGGCCTGAAAAAAACAGCAGTCGAAATCCACACTGGGGCAGCATCCTACTCTGGGAAACACCAGTAGTTTTAGAAACAGGCCAAAGAGTCTGCAGATCTGTTTAGAGAGTTCTGCAGTGAGCATCATCTTAACAGTATGGAAAAAATAATGTCATTTACTGCAAGCCAGTTTTTTCCAGAGGAACAATAAACTAAATCACTTATTATATTCTGCATGTATTTGTTGCGTTCCCACAGAGTGCCAAAAATTTTGAAATAGTAAGTAAATTTTGAAATGCAGTATTAAAAATAGAATTGGAGGCCAGGTATGGTGGCTCAATGCCTGTAATCCCAGCACTTTGGGAGATCGAGGTGGGTGGATCAGTAGAATCCAGGAGTTCAAGATCAGCCTGGACAACATTTTTTTTCTCTACCAAAAAAAAAAAAAAAAATATATATATATATATATATATATACACACACACACCCCACAAACACACACACACACACAGTAGCTGGGCCAGATGGAGCCTGTCTGTGGTCCCAGCTACCTGGGGGGCTGAGGCAGGAGGATCACTTGAGCCCAGGAGGTCAAGGCTGCAGTGAGCCATGATCGTGCCACTGTACTCCAGCCTGGGTGACAGAGTAAGACCCTGCCTCAAAAAAAAAAAAAAAAAAAAAAAATTGGGACAGAATCTTAAGAGAAATGAGTTATGGGAGGTATGATTTTGAGGATTTGAGTTCAGAATTAAGTAACATTCTGGCATATGGTTTGCCAAAACCTCATGGAAATTCAGTTGACTGCATAGTGTTTTTTTCCCCCAAGATACAAGATTTCCTTTCTCCCAGATTGCCGAATAACTTATTTAGAAAGAGAGGTGAGGTGTCTAAACAAACTGAAGAAAAATTATCGTACTCTTAGCAAATAGGTTAACAAGATTTCTGAATGTCAGCTTCCCTCAAGCAGTATTCAGTATTGCCGCTCAAGTGCTGTCAATTTGTGATGTGTGGAAAGTGCAGGGGTACTCCCAAGTTAAAAAAAATTAAATATGTTAGACTTTTTTCTCTTTGTTGGAAATTAAATTGTTCTCAGGTTTTGCCTCCACCAATGTTATATAAAAAGTCTTCTCTGTTTCCTGCGTGTTTTTGACCCCTCTTGAAAACATACAGCCTGGTCTTCCAAAGGATGGCCCTCAGGCCCAAAGTAAAATCCCTCCCTGTGTTCCTCCTGAGTGCAGGATAAACCCAGACTCCTGTGCGGGATAAATCCAGCCCGGCCTCTTTTACTGCGGTGCTACCTGCTTCTGTTCTCTCCCTTTACCTGACACTTCAGCGTCATAGAACTCTTTGTTTCCTGGATATGGTATTTCTTTCATGTGACAAGGTCTTTGCATATAACTCTTTTCTTCTGCCTGGAGTACTTTCCCCTTAACACACTCTTCCCTTTGGCAAAATTTTCTTTAAGAAGGTACCAGAGCCCAGTGTGGTGGCTCACATCTGTAATCCTAGCACTTTGGGAGGTTGAGGCAGGAGGATTGCTTGAGCCCAGGAGTTCAAGATCAGTCTGGGCAACAGAGTGAGACCCCACCTCTATAAAACATGTTTTTAAATTAGG